TCCTTGCTCCTAGTAGTAAGGCCAGGAGCCCCTAGTAGCGTCCTTGCCCCTAGAAGCGATGGCCTCCAACCTAGCAATGTCGTTTGGGGTCCGGGCGTGGGATGGACCGGCCTCTTTGCCCAAGACATTCTTCGGCCTCGGAGCGGGCAACATAGTCCTACTAGCGAAGCGACGCATGACCGGCAGTTTTTCCTACCGAAAAAGAACCTTTTGATGTGGAAAACTGGCCATATCTGAAAGGAATCCCTATCCAAAACTCGTGTAAAGGTTGTGTTCAGTGACTATATAAACACATTAAGACCATCGCACATTGCGAAACATGCGCAGGCTTCTGGATTTTGGTCAATGCAAACATCCGACCACATGAGTCATACCTGATATCCTATTTCCTACGCTCAACAAGTAAAAAATATCCACGGCATTCCAACACATGGGTACGGAAACAATTGTGCGGTCAGCGCATCTTGAAGACCATTGATACAAAGACCCTCTTTGTGGTGATGCAGAAACGGTGTCAAAAAGTTGTGCTTTGTGTTCGCACACAAATAAGACTCACAAAAGGAATTGGATCGCGCTGCATAAGTTCGCCTCAAAAACAAGGTGCGTATTTATGCGAGAAGTGTAGCGGATGTCCAAACACAGCGCTAGCTTTTGTGGACTCCAAAATCACCTCCAAGTTGGCGAGCCCAAAAGCAAGGGGCCCGGAACAGGCCCAGCCCCAGCGGGTACTGGACCCCACCCGGACAATCGTACTTGATTGAAGATGTTTAAGCGTGTCTTGACGCCGCAAGTTTGTACACTCTGAAGCTGATCACAACCTGGTGGTATCGATGACAATCATGCGACAGCAATGAACATGTGGCTAGAGCGAACAAAGCTGAGTGACAACATAATGCACATCTAATCTAACCAAGATACAGCAATGCAAAAACGAACATCCCACCAGGCTCGTGACTGTGCAAACGGTTTTGTCCTTTAATTGATTTTTTTGAACACAAGGGATGCTGTGCAAGCCAAGCAGATTCGGATCTCCTGAAATGTGTTCCTTAACATGTTTGTGAAGTCGGCGTGAGAGTGGACCCGAACCGGTTTGGACAGCGCAACCTTTACGCTTTCCATTTTCGATCCCCAGCTCTCGAAGTTCCGACAAATGCTTACAGAAATAGCCGGCGTATAAATCAACCAACAAGTCAAAACATCCTGATACACTTCGATGAAAGAAACACTGTCGCACAACAGGGTGCAAATGTCAATGTGTTGTTCGTCCAAAACACGGGCATCCGCCGCGAAGAAGCCCCGCAAAAAACGATTCTGGTAGGGACACTGCACACCCAATCGTAACAAAAGAACCAATGACAAACACGAGAATATATTCATGCGGGAACATTGTCAAATTCTTCTTTCAACTACACCAACCATGAAACCACACATAACCACACATTTGCACAAGAGAACCTGACAACCTATCCCCAAAGCAAAGCAGGTACTATCAGCAGCCCTAGTTTGACAACGGATATTGTTTGTCTAAGAGACGAAGGAAAATGCCTGTGAAGCCGCATTTAAGGGCAACCAAGTCCAAAAACACCTGTGCCCTGCGTCTTTGACTCCTACCTTTGCGCGGGGTACTGCATCGGCTGTCTTGTTGCCCTTTCTCCAGCACTCCGCATCCAGTTGATGGACTGTGGTCCTTGCACTCTCTCCACCAAGTAGCTGATCTCTCGCCCGCACAGAGGATTTTGGAACATGTGGTTCAAGTGCGCTGAATGTGGAAACAGAAGGAAAAGAAAAAACAACATGAAGTAGCATGAACTCCAACAAACCAAGAAAGAACATCGTCCATTGGTTCTGCGGAAAAAGTTAGCTCAACAAAATGTTCACACACTCCTTTCATCCGATCCTCTCTCGGTGCTGTGACCAGGCCAATTCATGCGACGACTGAAAAACCATGCCAAAACTACACAGTGCGCAAGGCACACTGACGGGTTTCTGCCAACTTTGAGCCAACATGACTGGCCTTTGCACATTCCATGTGCTATTTGCCATATATAAACATACGACATACGCAGACAATATGTTGGCAGAGCATCCATACTTCCTATCATCTTAAGCCAGGCAGTGACAGGAGGCAAACACTGATCACTTTCTGCCAGCTTTAGTTGGAAAATGTTGAGCTGCGCTCAGCCGCAGCAAAGAAAAAGAGATTCTGTGGGCATCTTGCACCACTCAGCCGATCGGTAACCTCAGCAACCTTAGATAATTACGAGTCTTTTCACCTGCTTCAACTTCCGGAACAGCGGACTTCGGCTGCACCCCGAAATAGAACGCCCAACTTGAGCCGTTTCAGCCAAGTCGCGCTTTTCGGGAGCGTTTACTCGGAGCGCTTCTTGTTCTGCCTCAGATGATCCGAACGGAGTGTTGCATCGTCGCACGGGAAGTCGGTAACCCCTTCCATATCTACGAGGCACCCGTCGATCTTTGCCTGTGATCCGTGATGAATCACACCATAACCTGAGTCAGAAAGCAATCCGAGATTGAGCAAAATACGCAAAGAAAATGCTATGGAATTTGTCTATGATAAATTATATTAAAATATCAGAGATCATGAGAGGGTCAAAAGCCTCCAGGAAGACCCGCCTACTATACAGCACTTGCTCTGGTGATAGGCTTCAAGAACATAACATGTTTCAAAACAAAGGTAAGGAAGCTGTACTCCTTGCTGCTATTGAGGCTGTAGATTTGACGAACATAGAAAGCTAAGAGACTTGCGAAAGTGTTTGAACAAGTGGCTACTTGCTCTGGTTCTGTCCAGATACTTCGGAAGCCACTCACCTGAGATGTTCGCAGCACAGGTTGAGCCTCCAAATCAAATCGGAGTTCAGTCAAGCAGCGACGAAACCAATCCTCAGAGGTGACGTGGCCAAACGTTGAAGCAGGTGGAAACCCTCCTATGACTATCATTCCCTGAAGCACATGCATACATTTGATCAAAGAATGAAGCATCTTCCCTGTGCCACAACACAGTCAGTCAACGTGCGCTGCGCGAGCGCATGTTTCCCAATGACATGCCAAGCCAAGCTTCAATGGAATCATCCCAGCCTTCTCTGAATGAAATGATGGGCTCATAGCCCAAATCCTTCCCCACACAACAGGAGAGGCCATGGAATCTCTGTTTCATTGGAATGCAATTGCTACTAGTACGGATGCACTTGTTACTAGTCGCGATGCACTTGTTACTAGTAGCTTCGTTTGCAGCACTTGAACTCTCCATCAAGGGCTCAAAAGATCTCTAGAGTCTTTCCCTAAGTTTCTCGGTCCATGCCATATGCAGAACCAGCAGCAACAATTGTCACTCAGAAGTCCTGTTTGGACCTATCAGTACCTGAGCAAAGAAGACAGCGGAAAACAAAAGCAACATCAATTCTACTTGTGAGAGTCCAGATGAGGTTTTGTGAGTAACCATGTTGATACTGCTGTAATATATGATCTCACAGAGATGAACGAGTACTTCTGGAAGGCCAAGCCCTTTCGCCTTACACCAAATTCACAACAATGTATACAGTAGCCGCTGTAAACGTCGTAGATCACTGGAGGCACATGCCTTCAGCGGCAAGGCATTGCCTGAGACTCGCACGAAACCATCGATGCATCACCAGCATCTTCACGCTGAACGGGCTCAGCTTCCTCAGCTTTCGTCACTGCGCAAGCTCAAGTTCGGCGTCCGGGCCGATGAGCAAATCACTCCGCAAACATGTTTAAAGGCCGCTCTGCCCCCCTACCTAGATGCGATGGCCTCCAACCTAATGTTTTCTTTGGCCTTGACCCAGCAATCCGTGACTTACTCATAGTGAATCACTATACAAAGCCACAAAGATTTGATGCTGGACACAGCAAGTGACAAGAGACAAAAGCACTTGCACATGATTCAGTACGAGTCACAAAAACCAGTCGACTGGTCAGTGTTCTAGAGCATTCGGACATGACAGGCCACATCTTGCCAGGTGTCATCTTGGTCCCTGTGAAGAAGGTGATGACGTTGCACACGTATGCCAGGAAATACATGAAGAACTGGAGGCGGACCATCAGTTCGGGTTGTCCCACAAGCATGACAGTTCACACACAAACGGGAAAAGTCATGTTTGGGGGTTCTTTATAGGTTGGTTTACTAGTAACAAGAACGCTACTAGGGGCTCCTGGCCATACTACTAGTAACAAGAGCGCTACTAGGGGCTCCTGGCCATACTACTAGGAGCAAGAACGCTACTAGGGGCTCCTGGCCATACTACTAGGAGCAAGAACGCTACTGGGGGCTCCTGGCCGCTACTAGGGGCTCCTAGGAGCAAGGACGCTACTAGGGGCTCCTGGCATCGCTACTAGGAGCATTCTTACTACTAGTAACAAGAAAATCAACCAGGCTTCTCACAGAGCCGTGAACGTGACGTCCAAAAAGATCCAACACGACTCGACTTCACTTGTCACGCCAAAAGCACACGTTGTACTAGGCACGCGCGTCGGAAGGGGCCTGTGGGAGATGAAACTTCCTGGCAAAGCAGGATGCAATCTGTCACAAGGATTGACCGGATTCTTGATTCATTCGCCAAAAAGTTGCCTGTGAAGCAAATCGCAACAAGCGAATGAATCGAAGACAGCACAAAATGGATCGAACTTAAGAAAGCCTAGGTTCTTTAGGACTGAAGCCAGGCCCAAGCCCACAGCAAAGCCTTCATCCAGCGGATGAAAGAATATCACCGAAGAATGAAGTGAGGCTCCCGGGAAAGCAAACATCTGTGACTTCGGCAATTTTAGTACTGTATCAATACTGCAAATCAGCTTAATTTCACCAAGAAACGATCCATTTCCTCCCACAAGTATGCGTAGCCCTCCTTGTGGGGATGTGTGTCCTTAAAGACAAAAAAGCACACGTGTATATCATGTCTTTGTATGTCCTTGTCCTCCTCACATGTTGTGATTGAATCCTTTTTCGGGGGTTCTCAATGTTGTTCGAGTTTGTGTGATTGAACAAGTCCTTGAGTTGTGATCTTGGGCGAAACCGCTGCTTTAATCCGAGGCTCTCCATCTGTGACAATGTAAAATTTTCCCAAAGCCGGGCTGCCCTGCCAGCATCATATGCTTACAAATATATAATGCCAAATTGTTTTGTTGTTTCCAAAACTAAAGTGTTTCCAGTGCCTGAAACAAAGCTCGTTCACCAAGGATTAGCCCATGACAGTAGTTGTCCACGTAGGTGAAGCAAACTCGATTTTTGCCTCGGATCATCAGAGACAAGTGAGTCATTCGGCCAATCCTGCCTTGAAAGGAGACTGATATTCACGTTGCCGAATGGGTTGAAGATCTTGGATGACTCCAAATTTGGCCAAAATGCCATTGCCAAAAACTCGCAGCTTTCCTGGCCAACGGCGAAAAACAAGAAACCAAACTAATCCTTGCCACCTTCGTGTCAAAAGGGCTGTGTTGCTTTGATATTCCGTCGCCATTCCACTTCCGAGAACTTTCCCTCACAATGTGGTGCGAAATGACCTGGATGACCCTGTGTCCTGTGGCGGCGGTCTCCATGAAGTTGGGCAAATAGAGCGTGTCCCGTGGGCCATAAACCTCCCAATTGCGACCATGCACAGAAAACATAAAAGTATGTTTTCAACAAAAAAGACATCATTTCGGCAAGCGAACCCAACCAGCTGAGGTGCCATATTGTTGCCGGTATTTAGGAAAACCATTGAGGTCCCAGTTCCCAGTGTTCTAATCTTGGAAATAAACCCAAATTGCTGGAAACAATTGCTGTAACTGGGAACGGGCTTCACAGGAAGCTTAAATGTTTAATTCACCACAACGAGAGCAACCCTCGATAAAACCAGCTGCCAAACATGCTAAACTAAAACATGCCTGCGCAGTCGAAAGGCCCTTTGGAAACTTGGAACACAACTCTTGCGCCAGCTGCCCACACGAAAAGTTCGCGACCAAAGGCGTCCGGTATCCCCCCTTCAAAAGCCGGCCTTTACACTTACAACCAGAACCTCTTGGTGTGTAGACAGACTGTTTGGAGAAGACAGAAACAGTGCTATAACATCACAAAATTTATAAGAGTATAGTTTGAGTAGTTGTTGCTTGATATTCTTGGCCCGTCTTCCGCCGTGTGTCGACCCGGCCGCGTCACACCTGGTGCGGAGCTACCGCCACCGTCATCAGTTTTTCACAGCAGGCGGCGGTGACGACCAACTCACCTGGAGAAGAAAAGACACTTGGCCGCCCTAGTCCGGTTGGTGTCCTGAACTAAAACGTGAAGGAGAATGCGAAAAATGATCTGGACACAACATGCTTGAGAAATCGTCCACATCAATCTTCCAGAATGGCAAGCAACAATCAGGCAGCTAGCGAAATCGGTGCGGCCGGCAAATTCCACGTTTATTTAGCAAGACAGGCAGTGCCTTTTGCTTTGGTCTCGGCATACTCTTGCAAGTAGAACTTCCTAGGGATGCAATTGTGGAGAAGAGAGCAAAGTCGGAACGCTAAAGACAAAAGGAAACATCCGATTTGAAGCTCAACGTGTCTGGCACGAATTGAATCATCCAAATGGCCTCTCTTGACCCACTAGTAACAAGTTCACCAAAAAAAATCAACTCGGCACTTTGCTGTCATGCATCTGTGGAAGGCTGGGCAGCTCAGTTTCAAGGAGCCTGGCCCAGTGCACTGTATAAAGCTGAAGGATAAGGTATTGCAAGATGTCTTGTTTGAAAGACATCAATCATCAAAGATTATGGAATGTTCCCTTGAAGCAATTAGCACAAAAATACAACCGGCTTAATGGTCGCATGTGCCCAGACTGACTCTACGCAGGACAGTCTGGTGGACATTGTGTGGAAACCTTAAAATAAGCTAGTTTCTCAAAAAGTCAAACGAGGAACCGTTCCCTGAACTGCTGCTGGCTATCTTACCTAGCCCCCCGCAACCTACTAGCAATAACCTCCACCCTACTAGCAATGGCCTCCACCCTACTAGCAATGGCCTCCAACCTAACCTAACCCCCCCAACCAAGAAACAAATACTGTGGCAGATTGGTGCATAGGGCGCTCTTGGTCCAAGTGACCCGTCGATATCACTGCCATCGAAGCGTGTGGAGGGCGAGGACGACATCACCAACTTTGGGACCTTCGCCTCCAAACAGGCCTTGCGTCGTGTGCAATGCGTACACATTCGCGTGTGGGCCAGGACCGGTGGAGAGGCCAATGGGCGCGTTTGGTGAATGAAATCAATGCAACGCTCAATTCTGCGGATACCACGCAGACGTCCGAAATGTGCGAGATTCATTTGAGAAATGAATCTGCCAAAGGCCTGCACCACATTACGGCAGCCGCCCACATTCACATCCTGGGGGCCCAGGCTGTCGAGAAAACTAGGAGCAAGAAGCTACTAGTAACAAGTGCCTTATTAGTAGTAACAGGTGCCTTCAACCGAAAGGCTCCACTCATGACGACTCGACGACTCGACGGCATGTGCTTTGAGATGCGGCGGGGGTCAAGTGTTGAGCGCGAACGGAACGGTCAACGGGTGTCTTCAGCACTTCTGCTTGTGTAAGACTTCCAATAAGTGAAGGAGGCTCCCTTTTATATCCTCTTTGTACCCTCTTATTTTTGCACCTTTAGAGATTTGCTTAGGAAGTCTTTTCAATGGTGCTCCTCGTATAACGAGCTGGGATGGAAGGGGCCCACAGCTGCACCAACCTCAGCTCGGCAACGACTTAGTCTGCTTGCCTGAGTCGATGACCAGCATTCAATCTTCCTCACCTCTGTCCCCACCCAATTACCGAGTCTCTCTCTCTCTCTCTTTGTGCTGCGTGCAGTGACTCCAAGTCATGAAACTACAAAGAACTCCGAATGATTCCCACAACAGCCAACAACAGCCAACAGGAACATGGCGATCCTCGGCTCTTGGGGAGCGACATGCCAAACGCAGTCTGCTCCATTGACAGCCTTGGACACGTCCTCCATACTGCGCAAGTCGCCTTGCATGTAAACCTCGGGATCGAGACTAGCCACACAACAACAGAATTAGTAGCGATGCCCTTTGCTCCTAGTAGCGTCCTTGCTCCTAGTAGTAAGGCCAGGAGCCCCTAGTAGCTTCTTGTTCTTAGTAGCGATGCCAGGAGCCCCTACTAGCGTCCTTGCTCCTAAGGTCAGCTTTGCAGTTACCGGCTCTTGGTAGTTCTTCGAGCGAAAGGTTTCTCCTAAGAAGCGAGTTTGCAAGGAAGACACTTGATAGTAGTCCTAAGAGCTGGTCCAGTGTCTGCATATGAAAACATCGGTCCATGGCCAAGGGCCGAGGTTTTGAAATCCATCCCCAACGGCTAAGGCCATGGCAATTCGGGAGTCCTGCTCGAAATCTTCGTAGCAATGCTGCAAATGGCAACAAGTCTTGGATCCAACAAATCCACTAATTCTGGTGCCAAGCATGCAAGGAACAACAAATGAGCTACCTCTGCGACTGCTTTAGGTCCTGCCACGCAGAGGGCGGCTGCGGCAAAATGTCGAAGGAGACCACCCGCTCAGCGCCGCGTTCCACCAACATTTCGACCTTCGCTCCGACACGGAGACGCGGTCGGGCGATGCGGCGTTCTTCTTTTTTATCGGGGCAAAAACACATCTTCTCAAAAGGATTCTTTTGAGGAAGGTCGCAAGGTTGTAGTAGGTCTTTATGATGACACACAGACAGAAGGTCCAAACAGAGACTTAGCTGGTTGTACAAGACATTTTGCTCCAAGCAACGCCAAGACCAATGCCTTTGAAACCAAGTCACAGTACAAGACGCGACGCTGTCAAGATGTTTTGTCCGACAAGGAGCCAGTCGTTGACCAACGAAGCCACTACCACCAGTGACACAGCACCGTGGAGGAACAGGCCTCATGTCTTCAAAGTAAGGTGCAAGAGAAAAGGAAGAAAATGGAAAAGATAAAGACAGACAAACCGAGAGAAGAACCAAAGAAACCCAGAAACTGTCAAAGTTCGGAGAATGTCTGCCTATCTACACTTCAAAAATTACATAATTAGTGCAAACAGTGACTTGATAGTTCAAGCTTCATTGCTGTGTGTACCCACAACGTAAGTCAAAGCCTCTATATAGAAAAATACAAAACCCCGTCAAGTATGTGTCGAGTAATTTCTGGACTTCCGCTACGTCCTAGGATTTGGCTCGCAAGTCTTTTTCGAAAAGGTTGGAGGCCGTCGCTATCAAGTCGGAGGCCATCGCTAGTAGGTGGAGGCCATCGCTATTAGGTTGGAGGCCATGGCTAGTAGGTGGAGGCCATTGCTATTACTAGCCATTCTTGTTTTTTTGACCTCTTGGATTGTCCAAGGGACGGATAGCTTCGCTCTGCCGCCCTTCGCTGCAGCGCCGTCAGTGCCGGCGCTGTACGCGCCATGGCTGCAAACACTTCGAGTGCCGAAAGAGAGCACCTGATACTTCTGCGTTTTTGAGTGGTGAAGCACTAAAGTCTTAATAACTTATGAAAGTATACTAAAGCCTTATAGCTATCTCAATGTAAGCTCATTTGGTTCACAAAGAGTAATTTCTGAGCTTGGCAAAGAGGATGTCGCAATAGGTTCTGGGTGTCCCAAAAAATGTTACTTGCGTTGAAAAATAGCATTCCGGATGCAAATCCTGCTGTGTTTCGTTTCTGTCTCAAGTGGCATCTCGCAAGTCCAATGATCTCCTAATCTCAGCTGCAACTTCAAACGAGCGGAGAAAAATGCTCAAGCTTTCTGCGCAAATCCCAAGGCACATATGGCCTGCCTTGCTGTGGGGCAAGTGATTATAGCGAAAATGATTTAAGCTTACTGACTTACTGATGAAACAGCTTACCTTCAACTATGTTTTGTACCCCCTGCAATATTCTTCCTGCTCCCACATGTTCCCTGATGTTCCCTGGTGAGGCCACGACGTCAAAGCAGCAATGGCAAGTGCCAAATGTTGCCAGTCGGTCATCGACACCTTTCGCAATTGCAAAACATTCTTGTGATACATTCGAAAAAAACAAAAAAACGCCACAAGTAACATGCAAATGCTTCGGATGTCTCACTATCCTCTTTCAGTTTACACTCCTAGCCAACTGGAAGCTTCAATAGGGTCGCAACAAGGTCTATTCGGGTGACCTTCATTTCTTGAAATTGTCGCCAAGAGAAGAATGCAAGCGGTATTCAAATGGACCTGGAAATGAACAAGGTCGCAATACTCAACAGTTGTTTCTTGTGAGCCTTGGGTAAAGAATCCCAAGCATCTTGCAGATCCCAAGACCGCCAGTTGGTCATCTTTCAGTCCAAAATGTCATTCCCGAACCACCGCGATCATCCCGTCCCAGCCTCAGCAGCACGGGCCTCGCCCAGCAAGGCTTCAAGACCCTTCGCGGCGCTGGAGTTCCCAAAACGCTTCCGGACCAAGTCCTGCCGCTGTCAGACTTGACTCGGTTTTTCAGTCTGGACAAAAGGGAAAAACACGTAGAAAAGACAAGACACAAATAGTGGAAAAAATGTGAACACAAAGGCAAAAGAAGCAAAGGCCCCGTGCTACGGATGTGAGGAAGCTAGAGTCCTCAGCCACTAACTCCCAAGCAGAATGGCGATTGACTTCCTGCTGCACCTGTCCACAACGGAAGCATCGGTCAATCCGTGCCGTGCGTTCCGGTGAACCGGTCAACCTCGGTTCCCATCCGTTGACCAAAGACTTGAGTAAAAGCATCGCTGCCTCATGCGGACTGCTTCTGGTGATGGTCATACCATCCTGCATGAAGACCTCGAGTTTTCGGTGCACGAGGCGTGGTTGACACGAACGTTGTGCTTAACGCCGGAGACTTTGAGTTCTAATCCCCTCCACCAAGGCACGTTCATTTACGTTCCGTTCATGTGAATGAGCTGCGAAAAGCCCGAACGGCACACCGTAAAAGCAAAAGCTCGGAACAAACTTGACTTTGCTGTTCTGAGATGCTATTCTTAACTTCTATCATGTATCCAGCCCGCTGAACATTGATTCCAAAAAAAGCAGGCCGCGGGCCTCATAGTTTAAGGAGATACCCGAAATATCCCCAAATAATCACATAACCCCAGAGTATGAATGGACCCTCCTTACTAGCGTGAAAAACAACCCCCTGCGAGTTGATTGCAAATCCCATGTAGTTTCGACACAAATGTCAGGTCTCCCGGCAGCACGATCCACCTCGACCAGCTTTTCATCCTGAGCTGAAGTGATGAGGCGACTGCAACCAGGTTTTGCACTCGACTTCGAATTCTTCGTCACTTCTCTTGAGGAATTCGGAATTCTGATAAATTAAATTAAAGGAAGGCGCTTTGTCGTCGTTTCACCTTTCGAGGCTTGGACATCTGCGATGGTCTTCAAGGCATTTGCAATCGAACCTCCGCCGCGAGAAAAACACGCAAAGGCGAGTGGCCACAAGTCACCGCAGCAGAGTCAGACAAGGAAAAGCGCGCGCGCGCTATTCATTTTGGTTCCTAGATTCATATTATGTCCCAAAAGAATACTAAAGAGCTGAAAGCTGACACATGTCACAATATGTTACAAACTCCAGAATGGTAAACAAAGAGATCTGAGGCCATGCAACTTGTGCCAAACCGCAGCTTGAAAGCAGTTACCCGACTTCACCCTTCTGAGCAAAACCTGTGAATCTTCGCCTTAACGGACACATCTAGTCCACAGACCATCGGTGACACCACGCCCACACCTCCCCCAATCGCCTTGAAGTTCCGGATCTAGAATGTCGTGATCGACCTGAACTAGCATGATGTACTAGGAGCAAGGACGCTACTAGGGGCTCCTGGCCATACTACTAGG